AGAGCTGCTGAGAGTGGAAAGGGTCAGTTCCTAGATACCAGACAATGGGAACCTTGTGAGTACAAAATGTATGGCAGGGAGAGGAAGGAGTTCACCTTCAGGATGAGGTGGGCAGCTCTGTTGATTTCTGAAATCCTGAAACTGGAATGGTGAAGGGGAAGTTAGAGAGGAGAGGACAGCCAGACTCTACTGACAGTGAGGATCTTCAGGTGAGGCATGAATACCACATGGTACAAGCAGGGATGTTGGTGTAGGGCAGAGGTTAGAAGTGGCTGCTTGGTATATATGCCCCAAACTTCTAAACAGAAGAGTGGAAAGAGCCACCTCTTCAGAATCATTGCCCACCATGACTTATTTATGGGTTGTGGGCATGCTGTTTTTGTTGTTGCTTTGTTTTAAGGCAAGGGCTCTCTATGTAGGCCAGGCTGGCCTTGAGCTCACAGAGATCCTCCTGTCTCTGTTTCTGAAGTTCTGGGGTTAAAGGTATGTGCCACACTACTCCCAGTTTATGAGGTTTTAAGTATAATAATATCAGTAACAATGCCCTCCCTAAAGGCCATTTGCACTTTTATAATTCCCTCTAGTGATTAAGGAATAAATGCTATTCTGTCAACATAAAGGATCAAAAGCTGAAGATATCAAGGAAGGTGTGAATAAAGAGTGTGCATCTCTCTCGGTGTTATGAGAAAAGCAGTGGCAAAACTATGGGGTCATTTCTATCAGTCCAAGATGGTTTAATAAAAAAGTCCTCAGTATACTAACACTTTGGTGCAGTTTATCCACAGTTGAATAAAAAAGCTAAAATCTTCACTTACACATCTACAGCTGCAGGTTTCTCGTCCTGTCCAATCTTGCAGCTGCTCTTAAAATAGCCTCTCAGAGATTTATATTAATTACAAACTGGCCTATTAGCTCAGGCTTATTATTAACAAGCTCTTACAATTTAAATTAGCCCTTTTCTATTAGCCTATATTTTACCATGAGAGTCATGGCTTTGTTATCTCACATCTTGCTTCCCCCTTGGTTGCTGGGATCTCCTTGCCTCCTCCCTTCTTCTCCCTGTATCTCTGCTTGAATTTCCCACCTAGCTACATTCTGCCTGGCTATTGACCAAATCACACCCCCCCACACCGGCCTGGTCTTTCAAGACAGGGTTTCTCAGAGATCCACCTGCCTCTGTCTCCCGAGTGCGTGTGCCACCACCGCCCAACCAAATCAGCTTATTAGCCAATGGAAATAAAACACATTCACAGCATATAGAAAGACATTCCACATCACATAACCTCATTCAAATTGTGCCTGTCCAGAGACCGGTGGCTTGTAAATATCTGCTGTGCATAAGTCATGCTTATCATAAAGTGCCCACTGGGCACCTATGCAAAAGCACCTATGGCTGAGCTCTAGTTTTGAGACAGCAGAGGGCAGCATTCTCTAGCTGTTTGCTGTTAGTTCCTTTGCTTATAAAGCCTACAGGCAACTAGCTTCTTCTAGTGTAGATTTTTCTGCCATTCATAATAAAGGTGTTAAAACAAAGTTAGAGACTTGGGAAAGGGGAAACAGTGATCCATGATTACACTAGGGAAAACAATCCAGTGTGAACTGAATTCAGCTGTGACTTGCACAGAGGTAGCAGACATTTGAGAATGAGAAGGAGGGAGGAGGGAGAGAGGTGAGCATTGGTTTAGCTGAGTCAGGAAAGCAGAAAAACTGTAAAAGGCCCATAAGAGAATCACCCCAGTTTGCTACTGACACCTATTAAAGTTAGGCTCCTGTGCTTCTGGGGAGCAGGGAGGCTGTTGTAGGCTTTGGCTGGAGCTATCTAAATTCATTTGGCTGCTTTGAGTTTTAAGAGGAAAGGCACTTTAGAGGAGGCTAGGTCCTACTAAAGATGCAGTCATGACTTACTAGGAACAAGGTTGGGGTTCTAAGTCTTTCTAGGACAACACTGATATCGGCAGAGAAAGACTGAGAGAGGCCAAGCTAGGGTTTGGGCAAGGAGGGAATTTCATCATGGGGTAAGATGCTGATAATGGCATTACAACATTCTTCTGTCAGTAGGAAAGTGCTGGTGTTTCTTACCGACTTAATGACTTCAACTATGCTTTGGTTATTCCTCACAACCCCAACACGATTTGTAAGACAGATAAATAGCTCTCTCTCCCCTCCCCCTTTCCTCTCCCTCTCCCCCTCATTCTCCTCCCCCACCTCTTCCACCCATGACTTTTTTGAATAGTCATCCAAGTCCCCCTACCTGGCACTTGCTCTACTTTTAATCAACGCAGCATGCTGTCCATTGGGAAGCCATGCACTAATGGCGGTGTGTGTGGTGACCACTTCCCCCATTCCTCAGCATCTCAGTGTGCAGAACTAGCTTTGCCCTGCCCACCAGAGCACTGCAGGTGCAGCTACAGAGGCTAATTGAAGGTTTGGCTTAAAATTTGACTGAGGTCAAACGTCAGTTCTAGGACATGTGGGATGGTGGGAGCATTCTTGCTATACTTCCAGCTGTAAATATGAATTTACAGCAGCAGGGATCCCCCAGCTGGAGCAGGGTCAGTGGAAGGAAAGAGGGAGAAAGGGAATAAAAGGAAGGAAGAGAGGGAGAGGGAGGAGTGGTTGAGTACAAAGGTATTTCTCCAGCCTTTGGATCCAAACTACAACACATTTGTTTTGTTGTGACCAAATTATAATGAATATCACAAAGACTATCAAGCTTCCAGACGCCCACTAAATAATCTGAGAAATAAGAAATACCAACAAACTTAAATCTGCACTATCTTTAGTTATGTAGATTCCTCTGATGAAGCCACCTTCCATTTTGGCTGTGTTCATTGAAACAAGAGTTTCAATGGTGTTTATGTGCCAGGTATGGCCTGACAGATCCATACATTCCAGAGGGAGGGGGAGGGTAGATTGAGGGAAGAAATAGCTAAGAGACAACAAAGATTTGGAAGGCTATTCACTGAATACTATGATCCGCCTAAGTTTATTATTACTTAAAGTTCTTATATACCTCAATTTAAAAATGGAAGGTGGGGGTGGCAAAAGACTTCCGTGCCATGATAGAAAGAACAAGCAAAGTAATTTTTTCCACATACCTCCAAATATCAAGTAGCCACACCCTAGATCCTGTAACCATGCCTTAGGTCAAGCATCCTGTGGTGTAACCTTGAAGGAGCAAGAATAGGTCTGACTTCTCTGACCTTTAGTAAAGGTGGAATGGATTCTCATTCCATAGGTCTCAATATTTATGTATAACCCAAGACAGCCTATGGACACAGGGTAAAATAACGAAGCCAAAATAGTGAGTAAAAGCTCAGAGCATCAGCCACAGTTTAGTTGAAAGCAACAGATCCCATTCAAGCTGATTTTGCACACTAAGAGCCAAGAATGCCCTAGTGAATCTGTCGTGACACAAGCTTACACTTGTCCTGTCCTGGCATTGTGTTGTGTGGGTCAGTTGAAGGTTGCTTTACCCCAAAGATGGTTGCTTCTTCTTTTACTTACTCCTAAGTGGAAGATGGACCACATTGGTGCTCAGACAACTGCCCGAGGATATGTTTTTCTTATGGAGTTTTCTAGAAGTTCCCACTAGAACCTCCTCGAGAGCTCCATGAACTCTCAACCAGCTGCTCCAGCCTGTGCCCCATCCTCACTGCGGCTTCTAAGGGTGAGGCTATTGGCACACCCGCACTAGCAAAGCCCACACTTGCTCTCCAGTTTCCCAGGATGACTAATAGAAGCACTCTTAATTATAAAGCTAGATTTTATAGGACAAAAATGAGAATTAAGTGTTATCATTCATAATGCTGGGTGACTCAGGACTGTTCCCATGAGGGGCAGCAGCAGGTCACCCAAGGCCTCCATGGTTCCTCTGGTGGGTGGCCTGAGGCCTCAGTGGGAGACAGATGGATATGCAGAGAGAGTATGGGTATAGAATTTATTGAGTGGGTTATGGAAGGGAAAGGGAAGGGGGAAGGAGGTAGGGTAGAGTGGGGAGAAGAGAGAGAGGTAGAAGCGGCCTCTCCAAAAGTGTGGGGGGGATCCACTTGCCTTGGGAGAAGGGGGAGATTTGGAGTGGGTGGGGTTTACCTCTTAAAGGTACAGGATACCCAGGTGACAGACCAGGCCAGCAAATTACATTCCCATTCTTTTTCTTATAATAAAAAGGCAGGAATTAGGCTTAGCAGGTTCAAGGAATTGGGACAGTGGATTCTCAAGACTGCTTCCTGCTTAGTTGTGTGCACTGAGGTCTTTCTTGAGAGGGACTGAGATAGCTGGATGCTGGTCACATCCTAGGGGAGCTGGTTGCTTTACTCCTATCCATGATTCATGGTGTGGAACTGTCTGGTGTCTCTCGGCAAGGTGTTGGCAGAGCAGAGGACAAAGTTAAGTTTAGGGAGAAAGAAATTAGGACCAGGGAATTGAGAGGGGTGTATCTGACCTGTTTAGAGTGGATCCTACAATTTGACCCCCTGGAACTCACAAGAGTTCTTTGAGTTTGTGAAAACATAAGTTTTAGACACATTATGTAAACAGCAGCATATTTATGTCAGAATGACTGTGACAGATGTTTTTGTACAATGAAGAGTATCCTTAAGACTATGAAAGGTAGTGTGAGAGAGAACTTTGATAACTCGTGTTTGTCCTCACACCTTTTTAACTTGCATTTGTATATCTTAAAATACCTTTTATTAGAACATATTAAGAATTCGTACTGAAATTTGTTTGGTGAGGCTGTTTTTTTAAACTGATGAAACCTCTCATCTGTCAAACTGCATCAGAGATCTTTAAGAAGAATAAAATTTTACTTGAGTTATTGATTTGTAAAATGACAGAGGACTTACTCTATTGACTACCTAGAGCCACTCCTCAGCATCCTCCATGGTTGTTGAAGGCAAGAGAATCAGGTCTATATTTTTCTTCTGTTGTTAGAGGCAGGGCCTGCCAGACTTTAGAAGATCTTATGGATTAGGAAATCGGTAGGAAGACAAACCTACCTTGGCCTGAGCAGCTAGGCAGTCGATTCCAGTGATTCTGTTCACTGTCTGGAGATATTCAGGGGTTTAGATGAAAGGCAGTTTTTCCCAATGGTTAGCACTTTAGCTTGATGAAGCAAATTGTGGAAGGTTGTTGTTTAGTGCCCATTTGTATTCTGTCTTCTTTGGAGGAAATAGCATGCTGCTACTAGGAGCCAACCTGTTTTTGTTATGATGAAAAGTCTTTTAATAATTAAACATTTAAATGTCATATTCCCCAGATCTTTGAATAGTTGAGGGCTGTTTATTGGTATAGATAAGTTATAACTAGAGTATAAAATCCACCTGGAGATCTGGGTCCAAGCTTGACTGTACGGTCAACATAAAGAAAAGACACAGAAGAAAATGTTTGACAATAGTGGAGAACAGCTTAATATATTTTAAAGTAGGGTTGAATCACATATACAGTATTTTTGTGAGAGATTTTAAAACATGAGTCTTATTGTTTTCTTAGTTTAGAATGAGATACAATGAAGTCAATTATAACATTTAACAGTAAGTATATGTACATTTATACCCAGTTGAACTTAAGTTTTATACACATGTACACACAGAGTTAAAGCTAACAGACTGGCATTTCTCATTTCTACCAGCGAACAGGCAGATTAAAAAAGTTTGTATCCAACCATGCTCTACACTGCCCGTGTCCTGCCAGCATCTCACACCTCTGCTTTTCCTTTTGCTGGACAGTCCCCCCCCCCCACCGCCACCTGCCTGTAAACATTCCTTTGCTCTCTCCTATTTCATTTCTCGCTTCTATTCTGTCTCTGCCACCGCTACAGCTGCTGGTCCTGCAGTAACCAACAAACTGGCTGGATCTGAGGTGGCTGTTTCACTTCCAGGCCTTGCTCCCCTTGGCAGCTGGTGAATGGAGGCTTGGTGGTAGCTGGCAGAGCTGAGTAATTTTCATGTCTACTTCATGTATGAAAGAATGTGTAAGTGGTGTGGCCACATGGATGTAATTCTATTTATGTAATGCATGCTTTACACAGCCTCTATGTCTCCCTTGTTATTTGCATCTATTTAAAATTCCCACTGTGGCTCTAGAAACATGGTTTCCCCATACAACATGTAACCGCTGCCATTTTGAGTATGGTCAGGTCAGATGACCTCACCACCATCTTGACTAGAGCATGTCAAGTGACCAAGTCCTGCCATCTTGACTAAGGGCTGGTTAGGTAACCAAGACACCATCTTTATTGAGGTATTCCTTGCTTAGTATTGTAGTTACTTATATTTTGTCTCTAAATTCCTCTTACTAACATATGTATTTTATAATATGGGAGTCTCCTCTGTGCTGTGATTACAATTAATGAATAAAAAAGAACTTCTTTGGACCTATAGAAAGGCAGAACTTAGGTAGGCAGGGAAAGCTAGGCTGAATGCTGGGAGGAAGAAGGAGGTAGAGTCAGAGAGAAGCCATGGATCCTCTGCCTGAGACAGACACTGGGAACATTACCCAGTAAATCATTACCATGTGGCAACACACATATTAATAGAAATGGGTTAAATTAATATGTAAGAGTTAGCCAATAAGAAGCTAGAGCTAATGGGCCAAGTGGTGATTTAATTAATACAGTTTCTGTGTGATTATTTCAGATCTAAGCTAGCCAGGCAGCTGGGAACCAACAAGTGGCCCCTCCTCCAGCAAATCCTCAGAGACAGAATAGAAGCAAGAAATGGAATAGGAGCGAGCAAAAGAACGTTTACAGGCAGGTGGGAGGGGCTGTCCAGCAAAAGGAAAAGCAGAGGCCTGAGATGCCGGCAGGACACGGGCAGTGTAGAGCAGGGTTGGATACAAACTTTTTTAATCTGCCTGTTTGCTGGTAGAAAATAGAAATGCCAGCCTGTTTCCCACAGGTGAGGCAGAAAAATAAACAACTGGCTCAGTCCGTTATCCATTCATCCACAAGTAACAGGGGTTAAGAAAGGGCAGTCACCTGAGAAGGCACTAGGCTGGAAAGGAACAGTATCCTGAAAAGGATCCAGATCCATAGATCCTTAGATCCATAGATCCGGGGGGGTGGGGGGGGCTGGGCCCGATGAGCGAATGAATGCACTGCTCAGTGAATGTAGTGCTAGGACAGAGCCCGAGAACCTTGTTCAAGAGAAATGTCGGAGGTGATCTTACCAACTGCCCCAGCAGACTGACGGAAAGTTGGGACGTGGGCTGATGGAAGGTCCAGGTTTAGGATTTTGGCCCTCTGCGTCGTAGTGGCACAAACACAGGGCTCCGTGAATGGAAGAAAGACCGATTCCTCTGCTGTGGTCGGAGGCAGCACAGGGGGCGCCAGTGGGACAGAGTGCCCTTTATGGCACCAACCCAGGAGTCGATGCTGAACCAGCGAGATTGAGTGGGGCCCAGCAGTTGAGACAGTTTAGCACTGGGTGTGATTACGTGCTGGGGATGAAAAGCAGAAAGAAAAACAAAAAGTAAGCTGCATTTCCAACTAACAGTCATTGACAGAATGTAAACTCATAATAGGCAGCTATGCAGCTTGATATCTGAGGGGGGATTATTTACTCTACAAAGAGGGATGACCAATGTCAAGAGGAGGAAAAAAATAGGATTTTTCAAGTAATGGTGAATATTACTTTCTTTTTTTAAGATTTAATTATTTATTTATTCATTATGCATACAGTGTTTTTGTCTGCATGTATGCCTGCAGGTCAGAAGAGGGAACCAGATCTCATTATAGATGGTTGTGAGCCACCATGGTGTTGCTGGGAATTAAACTCCTGACCTCTGAAGCACAGCCAGTGCTCTTAACTGCTGAGCCATCTTGCCTTCCTGAGCATAACTTTCTGTACCTGAGGTGTTAGTACACTGATATATATGTTCTTATTGTCACCCAGACTTTCTCTTCATATGTGTACATATATTTGTGTAAATATGTCACATATAATTTTATATGTATTTATGTTTAGTACAAAGAAAAAAAATCATCTTTTTAGCTAAAGGTTTACTCTCCTAGAATAATTCTTACTGTTTTTCACTGCTTCAAACTGTTCCTTATTGAATCCCTTCCATAAAGTAATGAGAACTTAATAAACACAGTCCCTGTTCTCACAGCATTACCACTAAGTTCACAAGGACTAAAAGTGTAAACACAAATTGTCAAAGTCCTGGGAAGTGCACCATATCACTAGGAAAGCAAAACAAAGCTGACTATTTGGTATTGAATGAAGGATTCTTACCTGGGCAAGACTATTTTCCCCATATGGTGGATCTTTATCTGATTAAAAATATTTAAGTAGACCCAAATGTGGGGCATTGGATAGACTGAAGGAAAGTGCCTGCCTCATTTTTTATAAAGTCAGAGAAGATGTTGAAATCAAAGAATTGAGGAGCTGACTCACAGACTATAAAACCCCAAAATAAAAATATCTTCTGTCTAGTTCACAGATGGGGTACAACATTCTCAAAATAGGACCTTTGTGATCCTTGTTGCTACTGTGGGGATCAACAGAAATGACCTTATGTCCAGTTCTAGTTGGACACGGTTAAGACGATGTAACTATATTTTAATTTAAAAAATGTTAAGAAAGAAATAAAACAAAAAAATGAGAGGAAGGGTTCAACTGTACATCTTCAGAAGGAAGCAGATTTTATGTGGGGGCATCATCATAGGAATTTGGATGAGGGAAGAGGTCCTAGTCCTCAAAACAGGCTCTGTATTCAAATATCGTAGTCCAAGCTTGAGTTCTATCATCTCTCTGAACGTTGTTGGTAACCTCACACACTGTGCCTCATTTTATCATCTTGAATGCAGTAAATGGCCCTCACCTCCATGCTTTCTATAAGATTAAAAATCTCATGTAAATGGTTTATAAAAGTGTCCACTAGTTGTTCAAATGCTCAACATATGCATTATTAGTATATCATTTTAGCCAGCCTACAAATTCTGCACTTTCTCTGATGAACTCTGACCACTGAAGGCTGTTGTCCTTTGCAACACTTTCAAGTTCCTTTTTTTATGGTGAAGAAAAGTGAAGTAAAGAGTTAAGTGGTTTACTCAAGAGGATACCCTGGGGTGGGGTCTGTTCAAAGAAAGCCTGAGGATGACTCAGGCCTGCCAAGGACTTTCAAGGACTCAAGGAAACACTTTTAGGTGCTAGGGTTTATGCTTGCCCTTGACAATTTTGTTTTATCTTCACAGTGAGAACCTAAACATTCATATCGTTAAGTGCCTTAAAAGATTTTAGTAAAGACCTAGAGTTAATTACTTTTGTAATTCAGAGTTTGTTTGTTTTTTAAATCTTCAATGCCAATCTTGTTACTGGAAACTGAAGTGCCTCTCATGGAATGACTGTTCCAAATGGCTAATGTTGAAAAAAAAGTAAAGATTCTGAGGACAGTGGACAGACAAACTCAAAATTCTAAGAAATTAATGAAAGGTACATATAATGGTCAGAGAACTTTTTATTCAAGAGGAATCCTGTGACTTCAGCCTACACTCATGCTGACAGGGCTGGTCCATGTGGAAGAAAAGCAGGCTTAGGGGGAAAACCTATAGCTTTACCTAGGACCACTACCTTGCCTGGCCACCACTAGTGCCCTTGTCTAGGCCTTAGTTCACCGACATTCCTCTGAGGGGGAACTGACTTCCAGAGCATCCCACAGAGGGAAGAAAGTATGTTCTGATGACCAGGATTCCCACCCCCACCCCATCACCATCCCTGTCCTCAAGGATATGTTAGTATTTGTTTTGATTCATTGTCTTCTACTCTTTGGAGAGTCTAGAGTTTCACAGGGTACCACTTTTTTTTTGGGGGGGGGTGCAGGAGAAAATTGAAAGCAATTAAAGCTCTCTGCCTCCCTAGATCTGTTTGTCAGACTCAGTGTACCGTTGAGATAGTGGGACTCAGGGCATGAACTCACAGTCCTGTTCTCCTTGGAGAAGCTGGCAAGCCAACCCCCATGCCCCTACCAAGCTTGAAGTGGCTCTGCGTGAGCCAAATCTCCAAGACTCCAGATGATCCCAACTCCATCCAGCCTGACAGCTCTGCACGACCTCAAAAGAAGGCCAGTTACTAAAAAACTATGAGGTTATATTGTTCTCAACATTTCCCAAAGAAACTGTGATGATCAAACAGTGACTGCTTTGGAGTCTGTTGTTAATGCTAGTCGAAAGTAATCTCATTAGACGAACACAAAGATTTGCCAAAATTGTGTGTATCTATAAGACTTGAGAAAGCGGCATCCAGTCCGAGACGAGAGGTATTTACTTAAGAGATGCCGACCTTCCCAGTCCATCCTTTCATTCCTGGAAAAGTGACGTGGTTCAGTTTCTTTTCATGTGCACTGGGTACTAACTTTTTCAATTGTCATTTATTTTCATGACAAAGAAAAGGGGGAAGAAAAGGGAGGTGTTGTTCAACTGAAGCTGAAGCAAGCCTCAAGTCCCATTATCTGATCTGATCGCAGTTAAGAAAGACCTATATGAAGAAAGGGGGATGGACTGGAAGGAAGTATGCTTTAGACATGACACCCAGTTTCAAGCAGCATCTCACTGTGATGGTGGTCGTATTGATGCAGTTCATTTGAACTCAGTGATACGTGAAGGAAACCCAGGGATCTCGGCATCCTTTGTTTTCTTTTGGTGCAACAAAGCAAGATTCAGAGTAGTGTTTTGTCTTTTTCCAAAAATGCTAGTTTTTTTGGGTTAAATTATTATATGCCTTTGTGGTTTTAGGTTATAAATGAATTTTGGGAAATGGAAACCATGAGGAAATCTACCTGCAGCAACAAGAGCACACATGATCTCAGAAAATAGAAAACTTTGCTTTGACCTGAGGCTCAAGTCGTTATACCCACTTTTCCCTCACCCTTAGAGCCTCACCAACCCCTAGGTTCAGTAAGGTCCAGAAAACGTAGAATCCACCTGTTCAAAGTCCACTGACAGTTTTTCAAAGTTTTCCTCCATGCTATCTTCTATAGTAGTTTGTCCAAAAAAAAAAAAATACAATAACCAAATTAAATAAAAAATACTTAAATTGTCCTAAATTTATGCCAATAAAATTTCTTTCCTATTAATTATATATATATTTATATATATAAAGAAACATTGTAAACAATTGTCTTATATATAAGACACAATCTAATGTATAAGGTCCACAATCTTCAGTGCTCAGTTAACCACCATGAAGATGATGATACATCGTATCTCTAGGGAAGCTCTAGTCATGTTTCCAAGCCACAAGACCCTTCAGCACTCTGGCGGCACTCTTTTGCATGCACCTTCTTTAATTTCACAGTACGATAGTCATCTGCCTTGCCTTGCATGTCAGTGGTTTGCTTATTTTGTGGCTGTCTGTCACTTATTTTTAAAAATTTACAATGCTTTATTTGCCCATTTTTCCTGCTGGTGGATTTATAGGCAGTCGCTATAGATCTGTGTCATTGTGGCTACAACCGTTATGAAGGGAAATGACACTTGTCACTATGGAGCATACATCTAAGGGCAGAATTTTTGTCTTTTGCTTTGCTCTGTGTTTGTCTTCCTTTTTAGCTGTGGGACATGATCTAGCCTTTGCAAGTCCCCCAAAGGAACCGTAACAGTGTGCTTTGTTAAGTCTGAAGAGAGTTGAGAGTAAGTGGCAGACTTCTTGACTCTCAGATGTCCCTTGCCAGACAAATACCTCCCAAGACTCATTCTCTATGGTCTTTTGAACTGAACTTGTCCTTCATAATTTTCGGTGGCTGGGTATTTTTGTACAGGTTATATCTCTACAGTTTTTCCAGAAATTAAAATAATTTAAAAACGTAAATATTCTTTATAAAAGTTAAGAAAGATTAGGTTAGTTTTTTTTGAAAGTTATGGAAGGATGGAAAGATGAAACTAAGCCTTGTTCCCACAGATTCCCAGCCCTAGATGGGGGGCACCTCAGGGATAAACATACTCAGCTCTATGGTAGCAAAAGCAAACCAACAAACAACATTGGGATTTTCATTTGCTATATATGTCAATACTCACAATTGGCAACATATCAAATACTAGTAAGGAGAGAAAAAAAAGGGGTCTCTCATATATTGCTCGGAGCTGTGTATAAAAGGGATACCATACTGGCAACCATTTGAAATTCAGTAGGACTACAAACATCTGTGTTCAGTAATTCAAAGGTTCTGTTTGCCACCCTGCCCTGAGAAATTTTCCTTAGTATTGCAAAGGATGTGGAATGCTGCAGCTGGTATGGAGAAGCATCTGTAATTTTTTAACTCATGCAGTCTATGCGTGGAAATGTCATGGTAGAGAATGGGAAAGTAGATAGATGCTATAACCAATGAATGCAGTTGGCCCTCTGTGTCCGCACAACCTGCGTGTGAATAGTCACAAGCTTCTACCTTCCCAGCTGGAGCATCTGGAGTAGACCAGAGCACATGGCCACACCTCATCTAGAGACGTGGTCAATCAATAATAACCATTTATTTGGGTACACAGATGGCATATAGTAATGGAAACAATGCCAAATACTGCAGGAGTCTCACTTCTCAGTTTCTAAAATATCATTCCTTCAGGTCCCTTGCCCATGGAGGTATTGAGGTATCACTCTTATCTTCAAATAAAAATGGCCACTCCAGACCTAGTGAAACAGAGGCTCCATGGTCCTAGAAATTCACACTTGGAAACTTCATCAGTGCTTCTGATGGTTTAGAGATAAATCCCACACTAAAAATGATCTGAGATCTTTTCCACTGAAATCTATCCTGTTCATGCCAAGAATTATCTAATTTAAAGTTGCCAAACTGGGTCCTTAGCATAACAAAGGCTTTGTTTTGACCCTGTTCCTCCTTGCCTTTTTCATTCACCTTGACTTACTCATTTCCCCACTTTAATGTTTTTCATGAATTTTCCCCCACACATACAAACTTTAATGATTAGAAGACTTGTTCTATAAACAATCTGCTTACTTTGTTGGTTAATCTCATAAACCTATACATAATAAATAATTTGGTCTTTAAATATGCTATCTATATCAGTCAATATAATGCTTTATTTTAAGATGTAGATTTCTGTACTATCTGTAGCAAATAACATGACGCCTTTGAGTCCTTTATAGGATATCCAGGAAAATTTCATGAGTATAGTAAACTTTCAGATAGAATTTACATACACAGTTATTTGCCCATGCCTACCGTCATTAATGCAACTCAGTTCAAGCATTAAAAAACTCTATCCTTAAAGCAAATTAATATTTGACACAGCATAAATTGCTACCATCAATCTGTAGAGGGAAAACATACTTGAATTAATTGTCCTGTCTAAATTATATTGCCAGGCAATAAACTATCTTCCAAGCTCTTTGCTACCCAAACCATAGAGTGGTGAAAGACAGAGCAGAAAAAGAAAATGAACAAAAGAAATCTAGACACGATTGTTGTGGTTAAAAGAAAAAAGTTTGGGAAGAAAAGCAAGAAGTATTATGCTATATCAAAGGTTATGAAGTATGAAAACACACAGTGCAAAACATAATACCTGAGCCATAAAACCAATAATTACACAATGATTCAATTTTGAGCATATATAGTGTTTCTTTCATAATCCTAGAGATTAATTTTATTACTTAAAAATATTTCTGTTTAGTTAAGTGCCAAGTTCAGCACAAGGTGACAGCTCTGACTTATTTGTCCTTAATAGATTTAAAGTAATAGGAGTTCATTTTCCTTAGTTTCACTTTTAGAGCTGACAACATGAATTTATACAAATGAGCTATGTGCATGTGTGTGCGTACATGTGTGTGCGTGTGGTGTGTGCTGTGACATCAAAGGGCAGCTAGTACCTTACTGCATCCAAGTGCTCCAGGAGGCAGTGGAGCACATGTTGCTCACAGTTTCACTGCCCCATCTGGGACTTTGGGGGGGACCCATCTTCTTTGTTTCAGATCTTCATTTCCTGCCCACCCTGAGCTTCATGCCTGCTTTTCTGCTCCCCGTTGTTTCCCAGAACTGTATATTTCTTAGCCTTACTCCCACACTCTGAAAGATCTGTGGGTCCAGTGGCAGCTTCTGCTGGTTTCCATGTGCTACCAAGAGGGTATTCACTGCCACACCCCTGTAGTTGAGCGCAATGACAATGTCCAGCATACACAGATGACGGCGTAGCTCTTCCAACATCAGACTAGCGACTCACCAATGAAGTCTTAGTGGGGTTTGTTTTTGTTTGCTTTCCAGTGCTGGCAACTGAATGTAGAAATCTTGCACACACTGGGCAAGCGTTCTTATTACTAATCTACATCCCCAGCCACCCTCTTCTTTAAAACCAGTTTACACAAGGTTAATCCTGTTGGCATGAAGGAAGTCCAATACAATCTAAAAGGCACTATTTCTGTGACTGTTCCTAGATTGTCTATTTAACTCTCTGATTATCTGTTTAATGCAGCAGTTCTTATTTTTGTGTTCTGCAACACCGGCTCTTAGGGATGATACCACAGAAAGATTATATTTGGAAACGTGGCGTTCCACACATTGAGTCAGGTGACATAGACCCTGGGGAAGTGGCACTGGGGAGTAGACTGTTTCTGTGCTTCTGTTTGTCTAAAAACTAGGATTAATTGTGATGTTTCTCCTCTATGGATTTCCTGGGTAATAATTTTATTAAAGTCATAGGCTACCTATTGCTAGGAACAGACCGAATACTGTTATTAAGTACAACAAAGCAATTTTTCTTTGCTGCTACTTTTGGCTTGTTTGCTATCAAACTGCTGCCAGTCTCTAATGTCCTGATGCCCTGGGAGTCTCCTAACCAAAAAGAAACTTTACAAATTTACCTGATGGAAGATCTGCATAGCAGATCCCAGAGCAGAATGTCTCAGGGCGTTCTTTAGGAAACTCCTATTTAACAAATATAATGGTGGTGGTGGTGGTGATGATGATAATGATAGCAAAATCAGGGCACTAGTGCAGCAGGTATGGATTTTACTTGGGGGTGTCATTGCAGCTTCATGTTTAAATGAGGATTGTTCTACCAATTATGAAGTGAACAAACAACACTCAAACTGTACATTAATGAGTTTTTAAAAGTGTCTTTTAAAAAGTACAAGATTGATTCCAAACTGAGCATTATAAATATTGTTCAGAAAAGAAGTATCACCTTAGGTTTGATGTATTGACTTAATATACACTTTTAAAAGTTCTGCCTATAAGGAGGGAGGGCCATTTATAATTCTGCGGTGTCTGATAACAACTTCCTCAAGAACCAGGAACCTTTGCATGTATTAAATAACCTGAAAGGAGGAGACGAAGAAGGAACTGACTGACCAGAATCAAAAGAGGAACAGTGCTCAGCCCAAGCAAGTCTGATGAAGGGTGACTGAGAGCCCAGCACTCCAAGGCTTGAAGTGAGTGGGAACGCGATTTAAAGTGTTTGGGTAAAGAAGAGAGGTAAGAAATAGATTCACCGTTAATAAACTAATGCTGTTTTGTTTGCTACATCAAAACCAGCTTTTTAAAGCATAATCCTACCTTAGTTGTAGTGGGGAAGCAATTTGCAAGTTTGGGGGTGTAAGGTTGGTGTGTCTAGGACCCTGCGAGTCTAACCAGCTCTTCCGTGTGCTCCCCCTGCTTCCCAACGGAAATACAGCGTCTGCTTCACAAGGTCTGCTCTGTGAAGGATTTGTGATTTTGAGGACAAGTGAATAATTACTCGTCGATTTGTGGGAACTGTTGCTTTCCAAAGTGAAAAGAGCTTTGAGCTTGGACGGAGTAAACCTCATTTAGGTATTTAGCTAGATTGTTTTATTATTTGAAATATATTTCTCATTGCTGGTCTTTTTTTTTTTGTATCTTAGAGTTTTCTGCTATAAAGTTAGCTTGATGATAGGGAAATGATGCTTATCTTTGGCCATTCTATTTCTCAGTTAATACTCTGAGCATGAATTTTTTTTATTAAGGATGTACTGGGTTATCTGCTCTGCATAGAACTAAAATGAATGATAAAAATGAATTCTTTCAGAATCTAAGAGGGACTCTTAGACTGCCTAAGGGATATCAGCTAGTCATGCAGGAAAGTCGCTTCCATTCTTTTTAGCACCTTCCTAAAAACTAATTTATTTCACTCTATATTTGAAATCTATTTTGGAAATGAATCTCAAACATTGTGGTGAGTATGAACGCAATCATTTGTGCTATAAGATATATTAAGATCTGTTCTCATCTGCCCATAAAGGAAATGATGCTCTATTTGTAGAAGTCATTAGGCAAATGTTTGGGTTTAGCCTTTGTATTGTGTCTGCTCTTGTAAGAGTGGGAGGACTCCATAGACTATAGCTTTATCTTTTATTAACTTTTAAGTTAATATACGCAATAATGAGTTTGTTATGTGATACTTTCATACTTGTATCATTGTATCTTGTTCATATTTGATCACTCCTACTGGCTACCACCGCTTTCTGTGCTGCCTTTCTCTAGCTGTAAAGTTGTTGTCTCCTTCTGTATCCCAGGCTAGCCTCATCCTCCCTGCACTAAGATCACATAGGCACGAGCCACCATGAGCAGCTCAGACTGTAAAGATTATGTGATAACTAGATAATGCCATTCTCATCTCCAATGTCCCCCTCCCAAGAGCCCCAAGGAAACTGAACGGTATCTGGATTTAGGCGTGTTTGTCCCTAAATAAACAAGCTGTACATATATTCCTTCTGTCGATATAAAAATGCAAAATTGAAAATTTGGGTGATTGATGGTATCAGACCTTAAGCAAAATTATTAAAAGTGGTCATTAGAAATGTGCACTCACTGAGGATGGGGCACTACTTTGTGGGTTTTCTTTTCCTTCTCACGGTTGTTGTTGTGGCTATGAATGGACCACTCCATCCACCAGCGGATATTTATAGTGTATATCAGCTCTCCCGTGGTTAGTACTAGACCTGGCGGCTAGGAGATGAATAAAGTTTCCTAGCTGTTAGGGAGTTATCATCTAGAGTCCTCTACTTTATCACTTATCAGATGAGCATAACAATAGTGCCCACACATGAGAGCTCTAGGAATGAGACAATCCACACGAAAGTGATTGGACACTGATTTAAAATATGTTCCTAATTAAATAGGATTGATGATGACGTTCAATAGACAATGGTAAAAATGCTACCCAACACTATTGAAAATATTGGCTGTCAACCATTCCTGTGTCTGAAAGCAGAAAGGCTGCTTTGTTGGTAAAATCTCATGAGAAAAATCCTGCCTAGTTGGAATACTTTGTGTTTCTCTCCTTGATACTTTAAAGTTTCAACTGAGCACTTCAAACATCGCCTTGATTAAGTGAAAATTATTCGCTACAAGATGTCAGAGAATTTGTCATTAGTAATTTGACAAAGATACTTTGCTTCACTTAAAAGATCTCTTAAAATTTAAGAATAATCTACACACCCTTTAAAGTTCATACCTTGTATCTTCAAGTGGCAGTGTAAGCAATTAGTTGATAAATTTTGAAGTCACTTAGAAACTACTGTCTTTTATTCAAATAAATCCTGATAGCTTTCTGTGCTAGGTGTTCTGGTTCTCTCTAGGAATCTAAAGATGGAAGCTGATCCCTGCTCACCTTCAGAGCAGGTAGGAAGATGCAATCCCCTTGCATTTAGGGCACCAGGCTCTGCTAGAAAATGGGCTGATTAAGGTGGGACTCTAGATGGAAGAGTGACCCGGAAGATGACGCAGCCTCTGTCCACTCTAAAGAAGGAGAAGAAGGCTTCACAGAGATTCAGGAAGCCACGGACTGACCACACATGGATAGTTTTGTCACGTGGCCCCTAAGACTGAAACAACCTTATATTTCCCTCAAAACTCATCAATTGTAGCATCAAAAACAACACAGGCAGAACTGGGGGCTGGGCAGGATTCTCCCCTCTCTTCTCTGTTGAAATAGGAAGCGGTGGGGCTGTGTCCCCGGCACCCGGCCGCCCGCATGGCTAGCTTATGCCCAGAAATAATTACACGGAAACTGTATTCTTTCAAACACTGCCTGGCCCAGCTAGTTCCAGCTTCTTATTGGCTAGCTCTTACATATTGTTCTAACCCATTTCTAATATTCTGTGTAGCCCACGAGCTGGCTTACCAGGGAGGATCTTAACCTGCATCTGTCGGGAGCAGGAGAATCATGGCGACTCCTCCTCTAACCTTCTTTCTCCCAGAATTCTCTTCTGTATACTCCGCCTACCTAATTTTCTATCCAATAAAATGGGCCAAGGCAGTTTCTTTATTAATAAGAAACCACTCCCACATCACTTCTCAAAATAGCCCGTGTTATACTCAATATTAAAAGCCAGGACTGACAATACAGTGATGTCTCACACATTCAGTAGATACAGTAAGTTTATTATTTTCACCAAGTACTAAGTGTACCATTAATATATTTTAAAATTTTCTAGCAGGTTTGTAGATGGTGGATTTCCCAACCTTCCCTTTCTTGAGGTTTCTACTGTACTATTGTCTTCTGCTTCATTTTGTGATCCACTGAAAGAAAAGGAAGGTAAGAGGAATAAAAATCCGCCCCCTTCCCGATCCCCATACAGCTCTGCAGAGACTGTTGAATATCACCTCTGGTTGCATCAGGACTTTGTCACTTAATGTCTTTTCAGGTCTGGAAAAGAAATGGCTAAAAGAGCCTCCAAACTCGGTTTTGAACCACAACAGGCTATCAAAAATTGCATCTGCTTGAGCACGCAAATTCATTAGCCACATTGAGCCGCTGACCACTGTATTGAAATGTTGAAAAGCTTTGTGAGCTCTTCGATGGGCGTGGCGGTTGGCGTTTCCCTCCTTCTACTTCTCGTCGTCTGTGGAATTGGGTGTGTTTGGCACTGGAAGCGCAGGGAATCCACAGCACTTACCTTACCGAAGTTTATGCAAAGGAGAAATAACAGACATAAGGACTTCGCAAAAACCCTTGACTTGAACCCCCACATGGTTTGCCCAAGCTCTAAAACTTCAGGGGAAAGCAAAGGCCACAAGTCTACCGTCAAGAGAAATAGGACGCATGGCGAGTACGAAAATGTGCAAGTGGGTCCCGCCAGCGCGGAGGCATCGACGGAGAAGGCGCTATATGAAAACACGCAGCCATCTAATCCCGAGGAACATGTCTACGGAAATCAAACAGACGCCCTCTATTGTAATTTCCAGAAGCCTAGTCCTCTTCCTCCTCCCCAAGATGATGACACATACATCCTTCCAGATTCCTACTAGCTTTTCAACGAACTGAGACGCATTGCTGCAGGAAAATAAGCGATCAGCAGGCCTCCGGGTGGACTGATGTCATCATGATCAAAATATCCTGATGAAATCAGTGCTCTCTTTTCTGTCTCCACCCTCATAAATCCTCACTAAGCGAACCACTGTTGACAAATTCTAGAAACCACCTCTGCCTTGGATTAAATCTGTGCTATATTATATTAATTCTTCTTTTAAACATTTGTTGGTAGAGCTTTCTTTCATTCCTTCCTTTGCCCACTTTGAGGCTCAGTATTATTGCCACAGTCTCTTAGCAGTTCATCCTTCTCTTGTTTTACCTTGATGAGGGGCTAACCTTTCACACACAAGGTCTTCCGAATTAACTCCATCCAATCAATAGCCTATTGATAGTGCAGCATATTGATCTTCAGGAAATTTCGATCATATCATATCATTAAACATCATATCATTTCTTTGCCAAAAAATAACTTTATGCCCTGTTTGCAAAAGGCATAAAGCCCACACATCCGAGTCCAGAATTTATTACTTTTTCAGCTATAACATTCGTTCTCAGTTATTTCCCTAACCCCTCGCTTCATTGCTTGTATCAAGTCATCTCAAAGCTACCAAGCCCCACTCTCTACCCCACGGCATTGCTTGTCCACCTTCTCAAGCCTCCGATTACACCTTCTTCTCCCTGCATCCTCTGCATCGCGTTAAAGCCTCCATTTCCCTTAGATCTTACTCCCTGTTTAATTCTTGGAGAATTTGAAGATATCAATGTTTTATTACTAAATAATATTGATAACACCTTTAGTTTCAGCTAACTAGGAAGGAACTGGTTCGTAGTCATACTTTAAGCCCCAAAGAAATCTTATGGGGAACTAAAAGTTTGGGTAATTGGCAAAATTGTATCCTGCATTTTGTCAAGTAGTTTTGAGAAAAAATAAATTTAGTAATTCCAAACCTATCTAATGAATATTTATTGACTGTTTTCTAACTACTTACTGAGTATATATACTTGTTATTATACTGGACAGTTGGGGGATGAGAAGAGGAATTGTTACAAGCAAGTCAAGAAAGAAAGGAAGGGAGAGAGAGAGAAAGAGAGACAAGGGAGGGAGACAAATTTTGAGTATGTACTTTCTACAAAGAAAAGAAATAGACAAAATATGTTTGTGATGAAATTATGGACATCTAATCTCTATGCACAGAATTTTTTGGGGGTGCTCTGTACTACTTGGCCAGGTATCCAGCAGATTGTCACTTTTGCCAGGTGCATCAATCTTTACTGAGCTTTGCTGACAAGAAGTTTTCAGAGGAACAGGAGTCAAAAGCAATTTGTTTCTTCTCGTCCTCTCTCCAGCATTTACTTAACTCCAGCATCACCAACTGTTTGTAGTTTCTTGTTTCTCCTGGCTTTATCCTTTCTTTTTTCATAGATGTCTGCACCAGTTAGACAGCATACTTTGTTAGAACCAGAGGGCCAGCTCTCAGATGCTCCCTGGGTACCATCAGGGGATAAGAGCCGTTGTGAGTTCTAGGTACCAGGTCTGAAAGCCTCTGAAACGCAGATCTTAGTTCAAAGGCTGTAATGTCTGGAGTTGTTATCTCTGTGAAACCTTAATGCCCCAACCACTTCTTCACCCCCACCCTGTGGATGCTCTGTGAGGACCCGTTCAATTATGTGTATTATATTCTCTCTGATAAACAGAAACACCTTCTTTCCCCAAACTAGATTCCAAATTATACAGAAGTAAGGATGATAGTGGACACTTTGAAGAGGGAATACAAGAAATGAAGGGAGAAATAAAGGAAGTTCTACCTTCTAGAGAAGTGAGATCAAATAGAAAATGACTTTTAAGCCTCATAAAATGGTCAATGGAGGTCTCTCAGGACACATTTCAGCTGAGGACCAAGGGTGGAAAGGGGGCTGTCCATGCTCATATGATGTATAGAGGGGTGAGGGTGGGCTAAAATGTCAGAAAGACGTGAAGGGGGTCATGGTGATCTCAGAACATACAGGAAAACTATGGCTAAAGATGCATGGGGAGAGAGGGTGGAAGAGCCACCTGATTGGGGGGGGTAGTGAAGATATAACAGACCACGAGATTTATTGGCATATGGCTCTGACCCTGTTATAGGTGCAGCTTCAATCTGTTCTGGGTTCAGCTGAAACAAAGTTTTAACAGAGATCTGACATTAAACATTTGTAGTTTGGGAGGAGCTTCTGAGCTGAGAAGGGGCAAATGAAGTGGAGGGGTGGGTTCAAAGATCTTATAGTTAACTCAGACAGAGAGAGGCATTGATAATGCTGTTCTGTTCTTGAAGAAATGCCACGGGATTTCCAGATGAACTCAGCATGTATGTTTGGTGTGGGAGAGGTAAAATTGGAGGTTGTGGTAAAAGGACCTTGAAGAAGAGCCACCTTCTTTCTGACTAGGATAAATGGTAACGTGCTTTACCGAGATGCAGACTACAAGAGGGCGGGCTAGGAGGCTACAGCCACTAGGAATAAAGTGTTTTGCTTACTATTATATCAACAGCAAAGAACAAGACTACACTGGCCGAGACGCTTAATAATGTCATTTATTTTCTGTATTCAAGAGACCACAGTTAGCAGGCAGTAGTTATCATGTTACCAGCACGAAGCCATTAGTTCAATGATGCTTCACAGAAACACCATGTCCTTTCTGTACTGTGTCTTCTCTCGACAGTCTGTAGTATGGCAGTGTTCTATTTCATAGTCAGCTCCTGTCATGAGGAAGGAATAAGAGGAAGAAGAGGGTGTGGAGAGCTGCTGGTTTATACATCGCCATCCAGCATTCGTGACACAGATGCTTCCGGTTATAAGGGTGGATGGTTAAAGTCTGACTTCCAGTAGCCTCCTAGAGACAGAGAAAGTGGAAAAGACAGTCATGGAGTTTATCAACCTACAGTACTTGGCCTCAGAGACAAAGATTAGTTTGGGACATACATATCTGGGCAGATTCAAAAACATTGTTTGAAATGGATAAAGAAATATTCAATTTGTGGGTGTAATATACGTCCATGTCTGGATTTTGGAGGAGAGGTCATAGCTGGAGGGTTGTGTTTGGAAACTGTATGAATGGACCTCAGCGGAACAGAAATAGGTCTGATCTATAAAAGTGAATAATCCAAAGAAGAGGCTAGAGAAAAATCTTTCACGGGGCTCTACACCTAGATGAAGCAATATAGGCAGTCAGTGGCTACTCAGGATGGGAGAACTAATTTGGTTTTTGTCAAAGAATTAAGACCTCGATCCTAAGGAAGGAGTCAATCATAAAGCCATGCAAATAAGAGCAACACTAATTTGGACTCAGTATGATAGACAAATATATAGATAGAAGGATAGATGACGGATAAATGGTAGATTTCCCAAAATTAAATATAGACACGGCCATACATTGAAAACTGGCTGTTGGGGCCCTAAGCGAGGAATCAGAGGGGGAAAGAATTAAAACACTCGGGTATGAAATTCTGAAATTAAAAACAGAAGGTGAGGTCAGCATATGTAGGCCAAGGGCAGAAGGTGTATGGAAGACTTCAGAAGAGGAAGAGCAGTGATATGGACATCATGTAAAAGGGGAGGGGCTAGAGGAGACAGCACAGAGGCTATGTACTAGCCTTTGTATGATAACGCAAAAATGGACTTTAACCTAGCACATCTGTTACCTTTGCTGTCAAAATGCAGTGTTAGAAGCAGAAATGGCACATATTTAAAACGTTTTTTTAAACAATAAATAAAAAGCCATAGGCATTGCAAACAAAGAATTTCTAAGCCGTAGTGCAGTACAAAAGATTGCAGTTGAGGATGCAGAAATGCGTTTCTCGAAACACATGCCTGTGAGTCGTAAGACAGTGTTGCCCAGTGCTTTAGTAAAGCCCGCACAGCTTTTAATCTAAATTCAGTGCCTGTGGTTTTTCATTTGAGGGTTCCTGAGACAGAAATTAAGCAAATGAGAGACGCACAAACAAAAGGAAGCACAGGGGATGGCGAATTGCCAATGCAATCAAGCCTGATGAAGGTGTGACGGCAGCTATTGACCTCCACTGTTGCTATGGAAACCACAGCTCTGTAATCCTGGTGTGGTTTCCCTTTGAAGGCCAGACTGGCTTTTGTGAATAGTTAAGGCTGAAAATGAAGGAAGTTGGATCGTCTTCTGAGGTGTGCTCTAAATCCTTAATAGCCATAGAGAGGCGACAGTATCTATTTAGGTCCCAGGTGAACTCAGAATCCCAATGCCTGTCAAAAGCACAAGAGGAACACTCAGCAAACAGCTATACTTAGACATTGCCTCAGACCCGCTCCCCAGGTTTTATCCTGTGTTGAGTTGATATTTTAGTTTTCAGCAGCAACTAGAATTGGAGAGGGAAAAATAAGTTTCATACATTAACATATGATCCTTTAAAGTATATCAGGATATCTGAAATTCTCATCAGACAAATAAATACAAATGTTCTTGGCTTGTTTGGCTTTTCTCCCTTGGCCTTTTGGAAAAAGACTCCAGTTCACATCAGATGCCCATTATCTGTGCGGCCTCTGCACACGCACACCACAATGAATCACTTCTTTCCTTCACTCCCCGACAACCCTGACTCTGAAATGCTCTCACAATTCCCATTTTACAGATGAGATCAAGGACAATTAAGGAAATTAAAATTCGACCCAAGATCTCAGAAGGAATGAAAATAACAGAGGCAGCATTGAACCCAGATGTCCTAGCAAGCGTGCCTCACTCAGAATATTTTATTAAAGCAGTCTCAGCAGATGATAATACCCTCCATCGGAGCATCAGAGAAGCCCGGATTGAAAAACAGGGCCTCCTTCCATCATGGAGCAGATGTTTGAATTTGAAGCAAATATTGCAGGACAACGCTGAACAAGATAGGCAAAGATTGAGTTGAGAGCAGATTATACAGATTTCTTTTCTTTTCTTCCCTTTCCTGCTCCAAACCCTTCCAGATATCCCTCCTTGCTCTCTTTCAAATTCTTAATCCCGGGCACTTATGTAGCTGGATATTCGTCATGAAGACAGTCAAGAGAGGAGTGACATATAACACGACCTCGTCTGGTCATTATTCCTTACAGCCCGCTCTTCGGTTATTCTTGTCTCATCTGTTAGTATGTCTAGACCATATCTCTGTCAACTCAATTATCTGACAAGAAACAAAACCAAGAGTAGAGTTGTGCTCTTAATGATAGAAGAGGGGTCAAGAGGGAGAGCTGTGCTTGTGACCCTAGGGTTTCACTGAGAACTCCGGCAGCACATTTGCATGAAGATCAGCTAGTGACAAGCTCATCGTCCTCTCTGGGTCGGCACATTAAGAACCTGGAAGCTACATTTGGTCTTTTTATTCTAGAATAGCCAGAAAAAAAATATTGCGACGTATCCATGACAGGAAATACTGATGTGACATCTAAAGTCAAAAGATGAAAAAAAAAGTATTAATTTGTTAACAGTCCCCATAAAAACAGAATAAAAGCTTAAGAGAGTTCTGGAAAGGTGCATAAGGAAGGGAAATTTTAGCAAAAAAAAAAAAGAAAAGAAAAATAAAGAGATATACATACAATAACCACTTCAGTAGAGTCATATGATCTCCTCAGTGTGAAGCCAAAGAAAGGTTCTGTACACAGTAGAATTAGTGGTACCCACAAGTTGGGGAACATAGTCCTGAATCAGGTACTGGAGGGGGTCAGAGGAGTCAGACAATGAGTCCTTGCATTGAGCAGGCTCAGCAGCTTTCTATTGCATTTTCATTCCAGGTATTAGGAAAAAAACAGGAAAACAAGTATGTCCCTTGGCTCCACGACAAGGCACTGTCCTTTCGTCGATTCCTAATGCCTTATGCAGCAGGTATGTTAGCTGTGGAAAGATGGCTTTGGTGTCTC